CACCCCCCTCAACTCAGCACTGTGGAAGGGAGGGGAGGGCTGCTCTACCAACCCCTGGCTTCCAGCCTGAGCCACTGCAGGCATGTGCCTGCATTTTTTCAGTCCAGATGGGATGTCTGTGCAGTTACAAATTGATTCAGCCTAGGCAGGTTAGACTAACCTGCAAAGATGATATCAATTTAGGTTCATGCTTTTTGAATGTCTGTCCCTAGCCCATATGTGCAGGAGATCTTTCTGGCTAGTTCCTGGTTGGTATAAAAGACAAGCAGCCATATTCTGTGCAAGTGATGCACACCCTGTGCCAGGACTAGAACCTCTCTACATACCTACTCTCATGTGAGGCATGCCAGCTCCATGCTGCATGCCAGCTCTGTGCTGCTGAGGTTATTGCCTAGTTCAACACTTCATGGTTGGAGAACTGCTGTAGAGGAGAAAGATGTTTCTGCTATTTCCTCTTGGCAGCTTTTTATGGCCTCTCATAGGATTTGATTTTGTTCCAGGAAGATCTTTAATATCTTTTTCTGGAAGGACTGTGGGCTTGACAAGGATGAAGAAGGGAAGTAGGGGATACTCTAAGGCTATATCTTGACTGCAAGTTTAACTCAAGTTATCTATACTTAATCTGCTGGAAATAGCCTAGTTTGAGTGAAAGTAGCTATGTTTGTAATAGGAGTATAAAGTGATTGCCTTACCAGCTGATGAGTTGTGCTAACCTGAGCTGTAACTTATACTTCATGGCACACATGGCTTGAGATAGAACAACCATCACAGTCAGTATAAAAGCTTTTTTGTGTGGAGAATATTAAAGTTAATATTTTAGGTAGTGTCAACTGGGTAGATTGGAAATGCTGGTGGGTTTCTTATGGCCTGGTCAGGATTTTTGTGTGTAATAGGTATGGTCTGGCAATGTTCCACAAGGCAATGAATTGCTGTCTCTTGGGCAAAATGTAATCCACACACTAAAGCAGAGTCCAAGGCAGCTCAAGAAATTTATCACATATCTGCCCTTTAACTCATTTCTCTGCACACATCAACCAAAAGCTATTTGTCTGCAACCAGATTTCTCTTACTCGTGAGGCTTCAGGTAAAAACACAGATCTGTTTCTCAGCCTGAATCTCTGAGGACAGGTCCATGTGTATGAATTCTGCTCCTTCCTCTCAGTCCCAGGGGGGTAGTGATTCACAGCAGTGTGTGCTACTCACTGTACTGTGCCATGAAGCAAAAGTTCATGAGGAAGTAGACAGCTTTGCTTAGTTAGGGTATGGACAGACATAACATTTGAAGCACTTCAAATGCAGCTGCACTTTAAAGCACTTAAAAATGGAGTGCCTCAGCTGCCAACAGATGCGTAGTCTCCCAACATGCTCTCTGGCTTCAGGGCATCAAGCTCACAGTTTGCTGCATGCAGTAGCACTCTTAAACCAGAGGGCATGACAGGAGGCTGTAATCCTGCAGCTCCACTCCCTCCTCTTTGCCTCCAGCGGGGGAAGAAGTTGCCAGCTGTCTCAAGGGGGAGGTCAGGCCTTGGGTCTCATGGTTCATGCATGGGAGATGCTCTGAGCGCGTGGAGGTGGAGTGTACGTGACGGCACTCATTGATAATGTACCCTGGTCTCCCACCTATGGACAGCACTGTGGGATGTTGGAAGACAAACGGAGCCCTCATATATTTTGCAAAGTGTGTGCATGTAACCTGAAGCACTTCACAATAAAGTGCTTCAGAAGGCCTTTGTCCACTCTGAAGACAGCTGCAGACAGATGGCTGCAGACAACTTAAAAAATGGTGATTGGGTGAAAATCTGACCCCTTATTGCATGAAGTATCAGATAAAGACATTTCAAATGTAGCATCTTCTCTAACTTGTGTCTGGGGAGCCCCCAACCTGTCCCTGTTTTCAGAATTGGAGGGAGTTCAGTTGTGGGGGTTTCAGCCCCCCCCCCAGACAGCAGGGCAGGTGTATTGGACCCTCCCCCCCCACAAAGTGGAGGGGTGCCAGTTCACCCACCCCACCTTTCAGCACCAGGTAGGGAGCCCCAAGGATGAGCTCCCTCCACTGCCTTTCCCCACTCCCAGGCTGAAAACAGTGAGCACTGGCAGAGAGCCTGGCTGTTGCTATGGGAACCTGGCTGCAGGCTCCAGCCCCAGCTAGCTCCCCGCCCCAACCAAGAGTGAACTGCTGTTTGGTTTGGGGGCTGGGACAGTGCTTCCCAAACTTTTCCTCAGCATGACCCCAGGGTGCTGCACTTGGGCAGTAGTAACCGGCAGCTCCCTTCTCAAGAGCACGGAGGCAGAAAGAGATCTTGGAGTCATTATTGACTCCAAGATGAACATGGACCGACAATGCAAGGACACGGTCAGTAAGGCTAACTGTACCTTGTCCTGCATCCACAGGTGCATCTCAAGCAGGGCCAAGGAGGTGATCCTCCCCCTCTATGCGGCACTGGTCAGGCTGCAGTTGGAGCATTGCATCCAGTTCTGGGTGCCGCACTTCAGGAGGGATGTGGACAGCATTGAGAGGTTTCCAGAGGAGCGCCACCTGCATGATCAGGGGTCAGCAGGGCAGACCCTATGAAGAGAGGCTACGGGACCTGAACCTGTTCAGCCTCCACAAGAGAAGGCTGAGGAGGGACCTAGTGGCCGTCTATAAACTTACCGGGGTGACCAGCAGGGTTTTGGAGAGACCCTGTTTCCCCTAGCGCCCCCCGGGGTAACAAAGAATAACAGCCACAAATTGTTAGAGAGCAGGTTTAGACTAGACATCTAAAGGCACTACTTCACAGTCAGGGCAGCTAGGATCTGGAACCAACTTCCAAGGGAAGTGGTGCTGGCTCCTACCCTGGGGGTCTGTAAGAGGAGGCTTGATGTCTACCTGGCTGGGGTCATTTGAGCCCGGTTTTCTCTCCTCCTCAGGGCAGGGGGTCGGACTTGAAGATCTACAAGGTCCCTTCCGACCCTACTTCTATGAATCTATGAACCCCATTTCTGGCCCCATTTCCTTAGTATGGCCCCTCACTCCCACAATCCCATCCGCTGATGTTGCAACCCCATTTGGGGTTGCAACCACAGTTTGGAAACTGCTGGTCTGGGGTAATGTTGTAACTCGGAATGCTTTGCAGAACAATCTCTGACTTACAGCTGGAAGCTGCACTTTTATCTGCACCCGCTAAGGCTGCGTGTCCACACCCTTGTTTTTGGTGCCTTTTGTGTGAGACATCTTACCAAAGTGATACCTAAGTTAAACCAGTTGTGTAAGTCTTGAACAGACAAACCAGATGCTTTTAAAGTTAGGGAGTTATTTGTAAAAAAAAATTTCAAATCTCTGATGTTTATGGACATTAAGCATATGGCCTTCAGTAAGAAAGGTTTCTTTGCCTTCTTCAACAGTATGATAATTTGTTCAGTGTGGTAGTTTTGCAGCAAAAAGTATTAAATAATTCCAGTTCAGTCTTTAACAGTCTACAGACTTAGACAACACCCAGATTTAATCTTCAAACAACCTCTCACTGTCCAGCTGGGTAACACCTTGGGAGAAAGTGTGTTCAGACAACTAGGCTATTTTTTGACCACTTCCTCAGTTCTATTTCTGATATGCTGACAAGTTTAATTGCGTGGTTATAAATGGTTTTGTAAGTAATTATAAGCCAAGCCCTGCTAACCAAAGGAGAGAAGATTAAACATGAGAACATCCCTTTTCACCTACTGTGTAATCCCAGTTTAGCATGCTGAACCCAGATACCATAATAATGAGTACCTTACAAATGCCACCATACGTAAAGCCTTCTGCATATAATTTATTTCACTTAATTGGGGAAAAACTGGTAGGGATGAGCAAGTTTTCACAACCACGTGACAGTGTAAAATGATTTTATGAGGTTTCGGTAGCAGGCAGCCTACGAGAGGGGCTGTCAGCTGAGACATATAATCAGAAAATACAGATAACTGCTCACCTACTGCAGGACATAGTAGCTGGAAGTAATGTTCCAGTATTTGGTATGAAACCCAGAGATAGATGTAGTCTTAATGGAGTATCTTTGTATTACTTATTTATAGATCACACAAGGTCTTGAAGGAAATATTCTTTTTTATTACAATCACTTGCAAAATGTCTGCCAGTATGTATGTATGTATGTATTCACTGCAATTCTGTTTTAATGGGTTCACTGTTAAAGGAGGCAAATATCTGAATTTTCTATACTTTCGTTTTTGTTTCAAGGTGATTACAGTTGTTTGATTAGCTACATAATAAGTAATTCAGACAGCTGGCATACAGTGCCATGGCCTATTGGAACCCACAATTCCATAGCTATAAAATTGAAACATAGCCAGAGAAATATCCTCCTGGCACCATCAGCCTGCACAGAGCACATTATTATTACCGCTTACATTATGATTAGTGCCTAGGAGCCCAAGTCCAGTATTAGCTCCATGTACAGTACAATCAAGCAAAACAAAGACAGCCTGGGCCCCACAGAGCTGCTTATTCTCTGCCTTGCTTTTTGGCCAGCACTGGGAAGCCATCCCTCTCTGCAACTTCTGTTACCTTCTTTATGTGAGACATTAGCCTATGCCAGGTATTTCTATATATGCTGCAGGCCAGGATTAGAAGTGGATAGAAATTCTGGCAGGGAAGTCGTAAGAGTGACAATTGGTGGAGGTGAGAGAGTTCATATTGAATGAATACTCCAAAGGATGGGGGGGCTGTGGTACTTAGTTTCCGACCAAAGAGATGGATTAAAAGCTGTTATGGGTGGGTGCTGATTCATTTGTTTCATAGTAGCTAGGGTCAGGAGGGACCTGAACAGATCATCTAGCCTGACCCCATGCCACAGGCAGGAATGAATGCTGGGGTCACAAGACCCCAGACAGGTGATCGTCCAACCTCCTCTTGAATTTGCCCAAGGTAGGGGCGAGGACCACTTCCCTGGGAAGTTGGTTCCAGATTTTGGCCACCCTAACTGTAAAATATTGCCTTCTGATCTCCAACCTAAACCTATTCTCCATCAGCTTATTACCATTGTTCCTCGTCACCCCAGATGGTGCTGGGGAGAAAAGGGCTCTGCCTATTTGCTGTTGATCTCCCCTGATGAGTTTGTGAAACAGTCCCAGTGATTGTTGTTGCATTTTCATATAGATTTCTTTTTGGCTTTAAGATCTTGACTCCAAGCTGAATGTGTCTCCTCACTTTATCTATTTCTAGTGATCATCTGAGCTTCTTAACTGTGGGTTTGCTTCAGTTTAAATCTGAGATTTTGGAAAACAGTAAGTTCATTCTGTCCCCAGTAAATAGTTTTCTTTAAGCAAATCCCTGAAGGGTTTTGTTGTCTCTAAATGCTAAAGGGAGATCATATGGTCTGTTGGGTAAATACTATGATTTTTTGAGAAGGATTCCCAAATACCAGTCACTTGAGAGACTAGAAATGCTCTGACCTGTGGAGAAGTCAAGCTTTTGCATGCAAAATGCTCAGATTTGCTTAAGAGAGCTTTGTTAATGTGAGAACGCAATGTGGGGGAGGTAAAAGGAACCAGGACAGATCTATGACAAGGATCTCAGAGATTTTTGAGGAGGTCAGATCTTGAAAGGGAGAAAGAGAAGATCAGGCAGGCTGGAAGATGGGATGGGGGATTCGTTTTATATGTGCCAGTTGCTTGGGAGTCTAGGATGTGATTGACAGCTTCAAATTAGAGCTCAGCTATTTTGGGTGGTGCTGCTACAGTGAAAGGCTTCACGTATTTTATTTTTAAACGTGGAAGATGATGAAAGAGAGCTGTCCTAGGCAGAAGGTAGGGTGGGGGATGCACCATATAAACCAGTGGTTCTCAACTGTTTTAGACTTGACACACCCCTCTGCAAATGCCCGCTCTTAGCTTTCACTCTATTATTTTTCTATAATAAAAAAGAGCAATTCTTCTGTTGCAAAGAACTCAGAAAGATCAAAATAGGTCAGAATGTTTTTAACACTAGGGTTTGCAATGTGAAAATTATGGGTTTATCTTTTGAATCATGGTTGCCCACCTAACAATGCTAACATTGTGCAGCATACTGCAGCACCTTTGAAAGGATCCCAAGATATCCCAGGGTGCCACAGCACCCTGGTTGAAACTCACTGATACAGACTAGCTGAATCAGAGATGAATAAGCTTTTGTGAGCAACAGCTCACTTCATAAGTGGCATCTGACAGGGTAAGCTGTTGCTCGCAAAGCTAATGCATCTTTGATTCAATTAGTCTATAAGGTGCATGAAAGAACTGATAAGGTCTGACACAATCCATCAAAGAGAGAAAAGGCCACACTCGGTCTCAGTTATCTAATATCACCTCATTGCTTTTGGATCCAATGCAAAGTTGGGGTTGTGGAAGACTTGGGGTTTAACAAATCATAGGAGGAGTTGGTGATGATTGGTAAGGGCATATATTTTCTTCATGTCAGAATGGTTTTTAGAGCTACGTCTTGGGTTTATGATTTTCTATCAGTTCTATCATTTCTCTTTGACAATAATTATGGGTAAAGAATAAATAAGTTCAGAATAACTAAGGAGTCTCCATCCTTGTCCCTTTGTGCCTACTGGATGAACCTCCATTTTGCGTTGTACAGCCAAGACCTAGGTATGACAAAGCTGTATTTATTCAAACCACTAAAATACATGTATCTGCCCCCCAAATGGCACACTGTCAGCAAGGATGTTAAAGTTGCTTACACCATTGAAGAAGAAAATTGCTATTTGGTGGAAAAGGCCATGGAAGTGATTAAAAAACCTAATCAGGGTGGCACAAAATTACAGAGGAATGGTCCTCATTTTCTACTCTTGAAAGTAATCTTTTAGTGCAGTTAAGTAGATTCTTCCCCTTTTCTCTCCTCCATGCTTCTAACATTGAAGTACTCTGTTCAATGTAAAATGTTGATAGGTAAGTCACAGTGGCAGTGAGGGAGAAGGAGGGAAGAGAGAAGAGAACTTTGCGAAAAAAAGAACCCCCTCTTGCGTCTCTGGGAAAAAACTACTTCAGTGTGGAGGGAAAGATGTAGAAAAAATGTCGTTTTGTTAGCCCCCCAAATGATGATTTTAGAAGTCATGGGCTCCTCTTGGTCAGTCATGGCTGGCCATGTCCAGTATTTTGAGTAATAAGGTATCTTTAAACTAGAGCCTTGAAACAAGTGCAGCTTTTCATCAAAGCTTTTCAAGGTAGGACCCTGGCACAAATCCTTGTTGACCATTCCTCTCTGCTGTCCACCAGCCATCCTCGCTTTCTTCAATGACTGCTATGATGTCTCCTTCATTGATATCCAGTTCATCAGTGTTCTAAAAGGAGACACAATCGGGAGAGTGGAGATATGGTTAGCATCAGTACTGGGACTCTCCTATACATTGTTTATGTTGTGTTGTTTTGTTATCCTAATTCTAGTGGTCTTGTCATTCAGTTGTCCCCTTAGGTGTATCCTGATAAATGGCACACTGATAATGAACTGAAACATCAGACAGTGAGAGACTGTCTGGTCATAGTAAGGCCATTGACTTTCTCCCATCTCCTGAAGATCTCCGCAGAACAAAACTACAAACACCCTCTATTCTTCTCTGGCTCTGACTATACCTTGTTTCATAAGAATATCTTTTGCCAGAAGGGATCTAACTGCAATCGCATCCTGAACAAGCAACCAACCAACCATGCTTCTTTGTAGCCTACAAACAGTACAAGGCTTAATCTCCAAGGGATATAAAATTACTACATCCACTGATGCCAACTCAGCATAGATTTCTTAAGTTTCCTGCATGGTCCCTGGTATTGAGCATTGGTAAATAAATGTCTGTGTAATTATTATTCCTGAAATGACTCCCCTGTTCCCCTCCTCCCCTCCCCAAGGAAATTGGAATAATAGTCAGTCTGGCTAGCAGTTCATTCAGTGGGGCTGCCCTATTTTGTGTAGGAAAAGGCAAGCATCTCGGTACTCAAGTGCCATAAAATATAAACAGTAATAACATAGGATATAGTAAATGTGTCAGTTAAATCTGAATATATTGCTTGAGAGAGAGTTAGGGGAGGGGGAGAGACCTCAAAATTAATGGGAACTGAAGATAAAGCTTCTTTTACTAGTGGGAAGAATCTTAAGTGTGTCACACTTGTAAATCTGATCCTAGGTTAGGGCTCTTCCACCTTCATGAAAGGAATGTAATAATTTGCCTTGGGGAAAATGTCATGAATGAGGATGCACAGTAAACTGAGCCTATGCAAGCCCTAAAGCAATTGAGTAAAAGTACTGTCATTAAAAAGCAGCTGAATCTCCTGTGCTGCAAAGAAAACTCCTCTTCAGCTCTGCTGACATAACCCAACATTGCTGGGCCTTAGAATCTGACCAGCGTTTGCCTCTGAGGAAGCATTCTTTAGGTGGCCTGTTTTCAAGGTGGTTTTCCTTGTCTCTTAACACAAACCCAAGGGCATTCAGTGATGTTCAAAACCAATACAAGGGAATATTTTCGCACAGCCTGCAATTAAACTGCAGATCTCTTTGCCCATTATGTTGCTGAGGCCAAAAGTTTAGCAAGCTATAAAAAAGGATTGGACATTTGTATGGAGAACACAAGCCCCACAGCTAATGCTAATTAAGAAATTATCAACAGGGCATAAACTGTTCTTTGACCACTGAGAATTAAGATGAAACCACGAGGGACAAGATTAGTCTACAGTAGAGAAATGAGGAATTTCTTACAACTTTCCTTGTAGCATCTGGCCACTGTCCTAGAGAACATATTACATAAAAATTGATGTTGAGTCTTAACCAGTATAATGATTCCTTTTCTTCTGTGTTCCTGTTTAGGAACATTAATGGCTAATACCTTTAGCTCTTGCTCTGCTTGGAATTCTGGAAGTTAATAAAGTGGATAAGGTGAAGCTAATGTTATTTGCCTTACTTATAAAGCACTTTGAAAACTACAGATTGAAAGGTGGGTGGTTTTAGGCTAATTCACTAAAACAGTTGTATACTGTACTGTCTGGACTATGACTTCATTAATGATATCAAACCTAATTATGTTTGATACCAGGAAGGGAATAATACACTAACTGAAGAGCAACACACATCCTCACCACTGTCTTGAGGTTCGGCGAATAAGACATCCCAAGCTCCATGACATTTTCCCCTGGGGACATTTGCTGGGACTGGCACTTGGGAGGAGCAATCAGCAGGTGGTGATAAGGGAAAATGTGAGCTAGGGCTATGCACACACAGGTAGGGACTTCCATGGGTTGAAATAGCTCAACATTTGTGTGTGGTGTTTGTTATTTTTTGTTGTGGATTTTTTTCCTTGTGGACCCATTTAATGGAACTAAATTATACAAATTCTTGGTATTTCCATCATGCATGAACTGCTATAGCATGAGAAAACTACATCTCTCATTGTTTCAGCCCCATTAAAAAGGAATAAAAGCCTCAGGCGGGTATTTAGGTGAAAAATGGATACAAATAGTTGTACTGCATATGCTAGAACTTGCACACAAATCATAGCTGAGGCAGATGTCAGGTCAGGAGTCTGGAGCTAGCAATAGTTATGAACATAAAATCACTGTGACGTATTTTAAAACCCCTTTGTGACATAGGGGTTGTGTCTTCCTTGCTATTGGGTAGAACTTAAAACATTGCATCAATCTGTGTTTGAAGTAGGACTCCACAGGTGTTTGGTGGAAGAGAAGAAGTACAGCGTTCAGATTAGATTGAAAGTTTTGGCATATCATTTAATTTGAAGATGGAGTGGATTTTGTAAATATGATCTACAGTCATTTTCCCTTGGAAAATTTAACTTGTAAAGTAGGGTCAGAATGGGTCAGTACTTGCATGGGAGACCTCCAAGGAAAATCTAAGTGGTGCAGAAAGGATGCCATTCTTTCTGAATTGGTGTTGAGTCAGTGTCGTCCGGGCTAGGGACACACATTACACATAAACTGGTTTAAGTGATCAGAAACTGGTTTAAACCTGTAACAGAACAGATGTTCAGTGCACATAAACCAGTTTGAAAATGGATGAAACTGGTTTGAGATAAACCTGGTTGAATGTCATATCAGACTTACCTGTTTTGGGTCAAACCGGTTTATGCAATGCTTGTCCCAGACCCCTTGCTCGTTTAAGTGAAACCAGACTCCTCCAGCATCCTGGCATACTCTCTGAGCTGGGCGGGGCTCTCTGCTCCACAGCAGAGCTGGCCCTTCCCCTCTGCTCTGTGGCTAGAGCTTGGCAGAGACTGCAGGTGTCTGCTTGGCTTCCCCCTGCTTCCCCCCTCTCCACTAAGCAGGGATCCCCGTCCCCTCTGCCTTAGACACCTCTCAGCGTTAGCTAGCAGACCACATGTTCGCTACAGTCTGTGCTGTGGCAGATGGGACAAAGGCAGAATCAACAGATAGCTAGTAATGTCCCTCTGTTGTTTTCTTAATGGGGTGATAAACACCAAGTTAAGGGTGATGAACGCTGTGTTATCAATTCCCTGCTGGGCTGGTCAGGAGTGGGGGGAAACCCCTCCCTAATCAGTGTCCTGCCAGGGCCTGGCCACAGCCCCCTCAGCTCAGCACTATGGAAGGGAAGGGAGGGCCGCTGTAGTGCCCCCCAGCTTCTGGCCTGAGCCATTGCAGGCACGTGCCTGCATTTCTCGGATCTCTGTGCAGTTACAAACCAATTCAGCCTAGCCAAATTAAACTAACCTGCAAAGATTTAATCAATTCAGGTTCAGGTTTTTTGAATGTCTGTCCCTAGCACAGTGTCCTGCTTGCCACAGTATATGATCATGAGCTAAAAGTAATGCTGTTTTAAGAAAAGCTGTAAAATGGGGAGCTGGGCATCTATAAGATTTCATAGACATTAGGGCTGGAAGGGACCACATAAAATCATCGGGTCCAGCCCCCTGCCCAAGGGGCAGGAAGTCAGCTAGGGTCAAAGAATCCAAGCAAGATAGGCATCCAAATGTTTCTGAAAGTGTCCAGAGTAGGTGCCTGCACCACCTCGGGGTTTAGTCTATTCCAAGCCTTGGTGACTCGGACAGTAAAGAAGTTTTTCCTTATGTCCAGCCTAAAACGGTCTTGCAGGAGTTTGTGACCATTGATCCTTGTCTTCCTTTGGGGTGCACCGGTGAACAAGTGTTCGCCCCGATCCTGATGCATACCCCTTATGTACTTATAGGCTGCCACCAAGTCACCCCTGAGCCTATGTTTCTCCAGGCTAAACAGTCCCATGGCTCTCAGCCTCTCTTCATAAGGCCCGTTCTCTAGCCCTCTGATCATGTGTGGCTCTCCTTTGGACTCTCTCAAGCTTCTCCACATCCTTTCTGAATTGTGGAGCCCAGAATTAGATGTAGTACTCCAGCTGCAGCCTCACTAAGGCTGGGTACAGAGGTACATAAGAATCTTGTGCTCCTTCTCAGTTAGTATTGGTTCCACTGCCCTGTCAGGATTCCAGTTAGAATATGTATGTTCTTGTATCCTAGAATTATTTAGTCTGGAGAAGAGAGAACTTTTGGGGGGTGGGGAGTGAGGAAATAGAGGGGGAGGGGATTTAATAAGGTCTTCAAGTACCTGAAGGGTGATTACCAGGGATTCTGGTTTTCTCTGATTTAAAAAAAAATCCCCAATTTTCAAATTTAAAAAAGGAACCCCAAATCCACATTTTCCATGATATATAAAATAGTGTTTCATAGATTCATAGATGCTAGGGTCAGAAGGGACCTCAACATATCATCAAGTCCGACCCCCTGCCTAGGCAGGAAGAGTGCTGGGGTCAGATGACCCCAGCCAGATGTCTATCCAGCCTTCTCTTAAAGACCCCCAAGGTAGGGAGAGCACCACCTCCTTTGGAACCCGATTCCAAATTTTGGCCACCCTTACCGTGAAGTTTTTCCTGATATCTATTTTAATCACGGAAAATGTGAATTTTGGGTTACTTTTTTTAATCCAAAAATTGAGGGGGTGTTATGAGAGAGAACCAGGATCCCTGGTGATTGCAAAGCTGATGGACAGGGGCTTTCCCTGATTGCCAGAAACAGGACTAGGAACAATAGCCTCAAACTGCAGCAGGGGAAATTCAGGTTGGAGATTAGAAGGAAATTTCTGACTACGGGGGTAGTAAAGCACTGGATCCGGCTACCTCTCTACCTCTAGAAATTGTGGAATCCTCCATCTTTGGAAGTTTTCAAAAGCAGGTTGGCCGGACACTTGGCTGGGACAGTTTGGCCAGGGATGATTCTGCCTTAAGCAGGGAGCTGGGCTAGATTGACTATGTGAGGTCCCTTCCAGCCCTCCTTTCTTATGATCCTATAGCCTAAACTTCCTCTGTGATACCAGCTTGATGCAGTATTTTCCATCTCTTCCTGAGCTAAACTCCTATCAAAAGGTTTTTGGCCTGAATCTTATATGAATATGTATAGAGAGATCTGTTGTCTTCAACTGAACTCTCTATGAGGGAAGAAGTCTGCAATAGCAGATCCTGAGACATGATGTCCTTAAATTACTTCTCTAAAGCTTTCATTGGGCCTTATCTTACACCCAGGTATTTTCCCATCATTTTAAATGTAAAAGGCTTCTGTGTGAATAAGTCTCCCCTGTCCCTTAAAAGAAACTAGTTGGGGTGGCCTGTGCCATGAACTGATAGTCAAGACTCTTGGCTGTCACCAACTAGCTGGATGAACTTGATCAAATAACTGCATGCATCTGTTTTCCCCATCTCTAAAATCCTCTATAAAATGGGGATAATACCTAGTTCCAGTGGCTGTTGAGAATTAATGTTTCAAGTGTTTTTAAGATCTTTCAGTCAACAGCATTATTTTAAACCCCAGTGCATTATGATGCATTTGTTCTTAAACCTTTGATTACCTGGGCTGTGTAGTCATAGAGCACTCTGTAGTTCTGTGATGATGTGGCTGCTGCGTGTTCACCCACATTAATGGATGCATAGACCCCATCTGTTTTCTCAGCTAAAAATAAATACAAAGAATCAGCCCCTTCTAAATGCAAGGCTTCACAAACACAAGGGTCTCTCTCTTCTGTAGGCACAAGGACATGTGTGCCTGGGAAAGCTACCATGACCTCTCTAAGTAAAATTATGCACAACTGTTGCAACTGATGAGATGACAATGCACTTGGTAGGTTCCTAGAACACTCAGAAACTAGCTTCTAACAAGTGTTAAGAAAATATTTTACCTGCTAAAACACGGTCCTCAGACTTGTAAAGAAATGTCATAATACATGTTTGATGTATGTGTTACTATAGGTGCAAACTTTTGGTGGATCAATGACTTTCCAAAGGGAAAAATAAAGCTACCACCTAAAATGTAATGCATTGAGGGAAAAGTTCTGTGCTCTTTGGTAATAATTTATATAGTCCCATGATAGTAATCTGTTACTGACTTGACCTTTCTGAATGATGTTGATCTAATCCAAACTGTCATAACTGATGACAAGAAAACATTCATTCAGTGTTGTTGCAACAAGTATAAATGCTCCACTGAGAAAGTGACACTTTGGCTTTATCTACACTGTCTGGGTTTTAGGACTGTAGCTATAATTATGTAGATAACCAGCAACATTCTCTTAGTGCAGAGGCAGCTGTATCAATACAAGAATGCCTATACTAAAACCTATGCTAGTTTAGTATAGTATGTTGGTAAAAATAAATAAAAAGAAATCCAATACAGTATAACTAGCATAGCTGTAGATCAGACCTAAGGAGAAGTCCAAAAGGATTTGATCCTGCAGCACTAAATGAAAAATTTGTCCTCAGACCAGAATCTCCTACTGGGGTACTCTGTGCACAGAACTTAAGGTGTGGAGATTTTAAAGGCACAAAGCATTCACTTAACTTTGCTCTTGCTGAAATCAGTGATATCAACTAAAAACACAAGCCCTATAAGCAAAGGTACAATAAAGATACAGAATTTTTAGAAACATGTCACAATTGTTAAGATGAATGTATTCACAAAATACATGTCATAGCTTTAGGAGTTTGTACACAGCTTTTAGAATATTAGTTTAGCCCTGGCTATGTAAAATAACTTATTCCTGGCTTTGTTTCTTGTAGCTTCTCTTCCTATGTCTGCAAGGGCCCTCTTCCTGCTGGGGGATGAAGGGGTTGCTCATGTAAATCTTCTGTGCACCGGGGGGATAATAAAGCAGACAAGAACCTTTGTAAACTTTCCCACAGTAAATCCTGGTGGGTTTAAGGCATTCCTCTTCCAAGGAATGACATGAGCTCTCTGATGGGTATGAGAAAAAATGGCTGTGATTCTTCAGCTACTGAAGGCTCTGAGTAGACGACAACCCCCAGTAATTAAATTCTACATATGGAAAATTCATAAATTTGTTATAATTTTCCAGGTATAGAAGTGAACTGTTGGAAGTTGGCTTTGATTTGTCCCCTTCCTACTGCCACAACAGGGACAATAAATCTTGGAGGGAGGGGGGTTAAATGGCCCCTTTGCCTTCTACCTCCACAACTTTACCCCCCTCCCACCCCAAATGTCACACTCTGCTATCCCTGGGCACCAGAAAGTGAGAAGTATATTTGAAAACACTGATGTGATAATTTGTAAATAGGCACAAGTCCATAGGTACCCATAAACTAGTCTAGGATTGATGCATTTCACCTTTTAACATAGGTACTCCATAAACACACCTTCAAGCAGCACTTTTATACCTACTTGTATATAGTACAAACTATACATTATATTAATCCAAAGCCAAAAGGGTCCCAGCAGAGTCAACAGCATTTCAAGCCATGGTGACCCCATGGCTAGCGCTGCTCAGTATGTGTGTGTGTATTCCAGATACTCACACAAAGGACCATATGCTAATTAGTCCCCCTCATGGCTGGAACCTTGGTGTTTTTGTAATGAGTCCTGGGATCCTCTAAAAATGTATATGCAGATGAGGCAAAGGGCAACCTGGTCCAGCTCCACCTCATGGAGGGCCTATGCTAATCAGAGGGGGGTAACAGAGGGATTCTGGGTGCACTGTTTGGGGCCACATTTGGTGATGTCTGCCAGACATTTAAGGATGGTAAAGAAATGGGAATCACTGGAGATGAGAGTGAAAAGTGCAGCTGAGCTGTGCGAGTAAAGAGGAAATTGAAATGTATGCCATGTAGTACAAGTAGCAAGTACTACCCTGCAATAAGGCTATTTATTTTATAAGTACTACCCTGCTGAGGAGTTTGTTAGTTTTGTGTGCCCTGATAGGGGTGCATGTTTAGATGCCTAGATGTTTACTGTGCAGTTAATTAGTCAACGTGCAATAAGTGTTTCGTAGAGACATGCCCACAGTGACTTGAAAAGGTTGGCATTGAGGGGCACTATTATACATCTTATTCAGATGGGCTGTACTAACCTATCCTTGTGGCAGGTTCCTATCAGCATCTCGGCCTTTTGGCTAAGATTGTGTGATCAGCAGAAAGCCTGATCCAGTGCCTTCAGGGCAGTGTCAGGTTGGCAGGAGTTCAGGAGGAAAACCCAAAGCCCAAAACAATGGCAGTGGTGGCAGGAGGTCTGATATATTCCCCATCAAGCCCAGCTCAACAAAGCCTTGGGTGGGATGATCTAATTGGGGCTGGTCCTACTTTGAGCAGGGGGTTGAACTAAATAACCTCCTAAGGCAGGGGTAGGCAAAAGGCAGCCCAGGGGCAGGATGCGGCCTGCCAGGCCATTCTATCTGGCCTGCGGGGCCTGTAAAATTTTAGAAAATTAATATTACTCTGCCCTGGGCTGCCTGTCGTGCGGCCCTCAATGGCTTGCCAAAACTCAGTAAGCGGCCCTCTGCCCAAAATAATTGCACACCCTGTCCTAAGGTCCCTTCCAACCCTAATTTTCTATGATTCTATTAAATCAAACTGCTAGGGATCTTGATGGATGCTGAGGAGAAAGATAATGTAGCATGGGAAAAGGTGACAGCAAGGATGCGGCAAATACTTTGGTTATGCTCCAGAAGGACGCTGTCCTTTGCTGGAAAAGCGGCGGTAGTTAAGGCTGTGCTACTGCCAGTTATTCTATATATGGGAATTATCTGCCACCACATGGGTGGGAATACAGCAGAAGTACAGAAGGAAATATGTGTTCTTCTGGAATGCCAAAAGAGAAAGTTTGGCTAGAGCTGAACTGTACAAAGCAAGAAAGATGGGGCGGGGGGAAGGGGATGGGAGCTACTGAGTTTGGGATTGTTCATCTTCATGAAATATGTAAGTGTGATATGTAAAGCGGTAATGGAAGGAGATGGGAAAGTAGCATGTATCACCCAATTTCACACAGTTGCAATTTTGAGGAAATGGGGAGTATATCAGACCTCTTTGAAGAGTCCATGGGTGTGGCAACTGCCAATTTGCTATATGAGGATGCAAGGTATACAGAGGTATAAAATAGGGAAGGTAGGACTGGAGGTCCTGAAGGATCAGAAGAAATTGATGAAAGTGATAAAGGGAGAGACAGGATGATGCCAGTGGGAAACTTCACAGAAGGACAAGCAAAGAAGATGTGGAAAGCAGTGGTAGGTAAACAACTAAAAGGGGAACATGCTGACCTAGCGTGGATGGTTGTAAGAAATATGTTGCCAGTGAGAGAGGTGCAACACAGATAGGGCTTGACAAGCTCATCAAGATGCCCAAGGGAGAGATTTGGGGAAGAAGAAATAGTGGGGTGTGTTTTGGGAGTGCACATATGCAAAAGCGGGTGTGGGAAAGGGTCTGTCCTTTCTGAGCGTCACCAAAATAAACCTGTCGTTAGCGCAGAGATGGTACTATCTGGGCTTATACCAAACGGACCAGAGGAAATGTTATTAAGGACTTTATTAGCATGTGTTCAAACTACTTTATAGAAAGTAAGAAAGCTCTGGGTATTTAAGGGATTGGCTTTCACTGAAATTGTGTGCCTGAGCTGGCACTGTGTGAACTGAAATATTACATGAATTGGGACAAGGAAGATATCAGAGAGGAAGAGGCAGAGAAGTGGAGGAAAAAGGACTGGACACACTTGTTTAACCAAACCAACAGAGATGACTGATGGGAGGGGCAGAGAGTTTCAGGTGGTTACTGAGCTAACAGTTTTTTCATGGGTTTCTGTAAGAAGAAATAGACTTCTATAAGGGCTTGTTTTTTGTGGGAAGTAGATGTATGTTGCTTCAGGGTTTAATGTAGTTGTATGTTTTTGATATGTAGTTGTTTTTGCAATATGAAGTCTTGGTAAAACAAGGATGTTCAATATGTGAAGCTTTGTATGTGTAAGATGATAAGTGTGTGTTTAATACAATTTTGTAAATGAAAAAAAAGGTTTCTGTTGGTATGTTTGCCCAATATGAGCTATCTGTTTTATAGCCATGCTCAGTGTTGGCTGTTCTTAATCAGCTTCATAGTTGGTTTCCATTACTGAGCATGTGCTGCTATTGACAGTAATTTAATAAACAATGTATTTAATGAGGTTTTCTTGAATGTAAATGTACGCTGAGGACTTTTCATGGGGGAGCTTTATTGGGGGAACCTCATCAATAAAACAGAATTGTTCCATTTTTTTGAAGGGCTTGTTTCTCTGAAGAAATAAATGAGTGTATTTAAATATAAGCACGCTTATGTTTTTCCTGCAGTTAGTTGCTGCAAAGCGCAGCTCATTTAGCTGTTTCTGCTCTTGCCCTTGTGTGTTGCAGAGTGGGGCAGGGGATTTGTATCCCTCGGTTCTTTGTGCTGGCCATCTCAAGGAGTCTGTCCTTGTCATTTGTGGGAGAACTTGTGGGGAATTGTGAAAAGGCTTTAGAGGACTATCCGAACGCAGGTGATTCAGCCTGTTTCTTCATTGCAAAGAATATAGATTATAGCCAGAGCAGAGTCTGGGTTCTTATCTCTATCCTCAGGCTTAAAACACCTCCAAACCCAAGTCAAAGGTTTTTCTGTATTGATGATGAAGTGCGGATTTAGCTAAAATCCAGGTTAGAGGTTGGGTTAACTGCACAGTGAAGAAAGACTAGAGGTAAGATGTTGCTGTAGAAAAGGGCAGTTTGTAATCTCCATGGAAGGTAATAAATTGGAGTACCTTCTAAACTACCTGGTACTCTTTGCTTTAACCTGCTAACTGGTGTGAATGGCAAGCTGCCTTATTTTTGCTAGAATTTTACCTTGCGTTATTCACCCCATGCCAGCTGGCACAGGCAGCTATGAGCAGAAGAGGAACTGAGATGGGAGCATGTAGCAAACCATGTGGAGAGCACACAGCAACAATTCAGAAAGGGTTAATGAAGGGGTTAATCACCTTCTCAGCTCTAAGGAGCTGGCTCGAAACAGTTGCTAAAAAAATACTGCAGCCCAGGCAGAATGAGGCGGCAAGAGGAGGCTGCCTTGCTGCAGGCTTGGAGAAATGAAGGAGGAGTAATGTGGTGCGAGAGGCTGATAAGCAGGGAAGGTAGGAACTGGTTCAAGGAGGCAGAAAGGGATCAAAACAGCAGACCATAACTGTTAACACAGAGGCCCTGAGCTGATACACAGACAACAGGGTAGACCTGGCTTCCCTTAACCGCCCCACCCCTGCAGGAAGGGACGAGCCAAGGGCTAATGAGCCCCAGATTGTGAAGAAACCCAAGGTGGCTTGTGGGGTTGGGTTTGAACTCTTACAGTGAGAGGGAGAGACAACTGTTACAGATGGAAAGGTGTGGGGGGAGCCAAGGGGTTTCCATGCCAAGCTCAGACGCAGGGGGTTGTCGCAGACACTGAGCCCTTTGAGGAGGCCTGGGCTTTAATATAAATATGTACAGTGTGTGGCAGAAACAGTTCACTTTTTAATGTGCTGTTGCACAGGCACTAGGGACTTGGCTTTGTGAGAAACTGAATACCTTTGGCTTCCATTCAAGTTGTATTCAGAGGAACGTGACTGAAATTCATGAAAATAGAAATCACTTGGTGCCTTACAGATCTAACTTGCGTTGACAGCCTTGAAAATTTTCCGCAGGCTGGGGTCAAACGTGAGGCCCTACAGAGAGACATATATTCAGTGTCTGGGTGGCCAAATGGACAGGTAGGCGCAAGAAAGGAAACTGGTTTAGGTACGTTGTTTAAGCTGCTCAGAATCAGTTTGTTCCTGAGAGGAGACGTGCAGGTGAAACGCCCTTGTCTTGTTTTAAATCAAGTCAATACAAATGCCACAAGCCATTATTACCTGTGTTGTCAAAATACTGTGCTGCAGCACCCTCTAATGAAAGAATCACATAGGTGACATGGGATTTGGTTTGGAAAAATAATACTGGAGAAGAATGGATGCTTATATTTACAGAAGTGCCAGGTTGGGCCAACAGAAGTCTTGATAAAAATTCATGCGTGCTTTGCACGATGCTGTATATCCTGTAGGAAAAACTGCAGTCGCTAGACCCCAAGATCTGGCTCAGAACATACATTCCTTGCTGACATTAGCTTGTTAGATAGCTAACACGTGGACTGTCCTGTTACACTCCAAACAACAAATATTTGCATGTTTGATTTGAACTGATATGACATTAAACAGATATACTTTTAAAGTTAAATTTGAGGGGAAAAAAACATACCAAGAGGAGGGGCTGTGGGAATGATGGGTTCACTGGTGTTTTTGCTATTTCCATGCAATAATCCAGAGAATCTGTAGAGCCAAAAGAAGCCAATGACAGAAGGTAAAGATATTAAGTATACTCCTCACATCCCTGAGTAACTTAATCTTCCCCACATCTACTGCAATTCTGGTTGTTATATTCACCCACCAGTGTGTGTGTGTGTGTGTGTGTGTGTGTGTGTGGTCTGCAACTAGTTTTTTACACTGGTAGAGCACTAGATACCTCTATTTTTATTAAAAGTTCCCCAAACCAAGTTATATATCAAATCTGTTGAAATTTGCCAGTCACTAAATAGTGTATAAACTAGATCCGTTGTTATTATTTTTTAAAAAGTTTTGCTTTATGAACAGTTGAAAATCTAAAGGCACATAAGGCAAAGTACCCACCATCCCATTGTATATACTTGATAGGTCTGTTCATTAGTTAATTTGAGTGGTTGCATTTTGTTTTAAAAAAATAAGAAGTGCTGATGCAACTGAACATTAAAAATGCTTCATTCTGGAATACTGATTATCACAATTTGCCAAGATACATCAGGCTATTGACTTTCCTCCTTGGATGTGTTCAGCAGCACAGCTGGCCTAAGGACCGGGAGAAACCAACCAAGCTGGGAATCTGGGTCAAGAATTTAGAAAAATACTAGTAATTTCTTTCACTGCCTGACTTGGATATTGTAAAGCCCTGATTTTCATATGGTCAGTGCTCAGCATTTTTGGAAAACTGAGCTTCCCAAATGATCAGAAATTGAAGCACTCAAAGTGAGTCCTCACTTGAAAGTTTGGCCCCCCTCTTTCCCCATCTATACCAGTACAAAGTTACTGGGCATGCATCTGGTGGTTTGAATCAAAATACAACTTTCATTTGTAAGATATTCAGTATTAGAAATCATTAACTTTCAGTTAGAAATTACATCTAATATACCAAAGTACTCTGTATAACTTCTCCAATTTATCAGGCTTGCTAACCAACAGGGCCTTGTATAGCTTTTGGTAGTCTCACAGATTAATAGAAAGACTCAAATGTTACAGTAAAAGCAGTACAGCTTATACTGTAGTATGAATGACACTTCATAGTGGTATGTGAGTGTTTATGCCAGTATAGTAGCCAGGAATAAGCTATACTGAAATAAGACATTTACACCAGTGTAAGTATATCCACACTACTTCTTTTACTGGGGTGCCTATTTCAATATAGAGAAAAAGACCCCCTAACCAACAGGATTATACCAGTAAATGTTTATACGTGTAGATCAGGCCTTATATTATTTGTGATGTTTGGCATGGTGCTGCACTGAGGTTTAGGACAGAAGTTATTGCTGAAGATTTATCTGGCCTCCCCCTGTCCCCACATAAGTTTTATTCTTGGCCACAATTCTCTCACAAAATAAATCGGATATAGTGACTGAGCAGGTAAGGCAACAGCTCTAGAGCTATAAGTTTGAGCCCCACTCTAGACTCATGCTGAAGGCTCTTCTCAGCTGTAAAGGAGTATCTGGTTGTTCAGGCTGGGGAGTCGGAGGTAGCTGGCACATCATTTCCTTGTACAGCCATGGGCTATAGGAGCTGATGTGCCCCAATGGGCAGTTTGACTCAGGCAGTTTTTAAATTTGAAATATTTGCTGACCATGGAGATTCTTCTAAATGTAGTCCTTTTCCCTGCCTCCTAGAAACACCAAATTGAATTATTAATTCTCCTGTACTTTTAATTCCTTTGTTCATGTTTGTTGGTGTGTGTGTCGTGCATATTCTTTTCACCACAAAAGTTTCATTACTTGTAAGATTCTGATTTACTCTAAAATTCATGTAACCCTATCTGCAAGGGTCCATCCTTGGTACTCACTTTTTAATCATCCCACAAGACTGGGTTGGGCTGCCTTTAGGAGGTTCTCTGTCATAATAATTTTCATATCCTATTGGACCTGCAATAGCGCAATAAAAATCAGAGAGGTAGTCAGTCAGAAGGCAGGGTAGATATGCATCTTTATAGACTAAATAAGATTATATGTATAGAGAGAGAGGACAAACTTTCTTGGGCTGAAGCTCACTTCATCAGATGCTGTGAAAGGATATGCAGAAAGCAGAGTATAAGAAGGAAAGAGAATTTAGAATATAAAAGACAAGGGGGGGGAGAGAAATATAAGAAAGAGGAGGGGGACAGTGCTAGGAGATAAAATAAAAATCAACCATGTAGACAAGCAGAATGCAATCATTCTTTTCCTCGCCCTGGCCTGCAATTATTTTTTTCCCTTATAATACAGTAGTTGGAGACACCTAGAACAAGAGCAGTTAATAGAAATCCAGTCTCCTGTTTAATGCCTAGGTGCAGCCTCCAGAGTCCTTGGAGCCCATCTAGAATAGGAAAACTACTGTTTGCTAAGAGTAGGTTCTAGTAATATTTGCAGCTGAGCTGATGCAGTTTCACTGCAAGCACAGGCAATGCCAAACAGTGGTCAGCACCATTTCAAGTTATGGTTAAATTCTAACCCAGAAATCAGCTAACTTCATAATAACTGTGTCACATTAGTTATCCTATAGGGCTTTTAGTAGAAAAGAATGACCATCCTCTATCTGGAGGCTAGTGCTCATTCAGCTCTATTGGGTTTTTCAAATGATTAATTTTGACAGACATTCAGAAATTCTGTATACATTTGGGGATTTTGATTACTTATTTATTTTGGCCTTATCCCCAGGTGTTATGATGCTGGCCTTGCCTAGTCTATGCCTGTATAGTGATAGTCTCCTAACTCTTACTTCCCAAACAGAGTTTATATTTATTTTCATTCATTCATTCATTTCATTTATTCATTCATTCATTCCCTCTTCTCAAATACAGAAGTATTGCTGTTTTTCGCTGTCCACTATGCTGCCAGTCAAGCTCAGAATTGGGGCTGTTTTAAAGTCAAACTTTAAAAATAAATGGTCTCAACCTCATTATTTTTCCTCAGACATGCACAGCACTTGTGGATCCCACAGTAGTTATTTGGTGTGGTGGGTGTTCAGCACATTTGAAAATCATGCTCATGGAAATTTTGGGATTTCCTGTCCATGGTAAAGATGTCCTTCTGTTACCCTTGTAAAATGTCAGTTTGCAAGACTCTGCTTCCAGTATCCACATGCACTTAGAATTTACTTGGAAGAAGGAAGAGTGCATTACCTGACAACAAAAAAGTACTTGTCTCTCACATGAGATTATCTCTGGCTCTCCTTCTATATAATAAATGCCAAGATACCCAAGGGAGAGATTTGGGGAAGAAGAAATAGTGGGGTGTGTTTTGGGAGTGTACATCTGCAAAGCAAGTGTGGGATTTGGATTTGGCTTGAATTGGGGACAGTGATTTGATTCGTTGATTTGGATCACTGTCCCTGATTCGATTCATCCGAATCCAGATCTGAAGATTCAATGCTGATTCAGAGAATCAGTGATTTGGACATACACACAGCTTTAAATGTTTTTTCTACATACCTCGAGGTACTAGCACAGCTTGTGAATGCTGTGATGCTGGGGTGGATGGGGCGTCCCACAGAAGTGCAGGGGGGGCCCTCCACATGCTCAGTGGTGAACCCGGAAGTGGACCAGAAGTGCTTCTAGTCCACTTCCAGGTCTGCTGCCCAGCGTGCTGGGGAGCCCCCCACCCGCACGCTCCTGTGGGACACTGCATGCGCTCCAGCATCACAGCACTCACGAGCCCCTTCTACCTAGAGGTATGTAGAAAAAACATTTAAAGCTGTCTCTACGTCCAAATCTCCGAATCTTTCCAAAGATCTCTGAATCAATTTGGAGGGTTCCGATTTGATTCGGAGAGATTCAAGGGTCCTTTGATTCAATTCAGATTCAGAGATTCAGCCACCGAATTGGGCCGAATCTCTGCCGAATCGAATCAGGGACTGAAGCTTCGCACAGCCCTACTAAGAACATAGGCAGGCAAGATGCTTTGAGTAGAAGTGGTATCTTTTATTAGACCAACTGAGTAGTTGGAAAAAAGTTCTTAGCAAGCTTCCAGATGCAGCCACCCTTCATCAGGCATAGGAAATTTCTATGTGAGACTCTTCATGACCTTTTGACTTAAATGAACATTGACTGAGTTCCCATAAGCATTGGGATCGTATCTGTTTTTGGGTTCTCTTTATGAGTAAAGCATGCCAATGTGTTTGGAGGCAAAACATGGTACTATTCAGAGCTGGTCAGATATCCTTTGATGAAACAGTTTAATCAGAAAATGCCAATTCATCAAACCAAAAATGATTTTCAGAAACCATCTTGGGTTGACAAATTTTCCTCAGTTTCTTATAGAGAGAGAGAGACCTGGCTTTTGGATGCATCACTAGGGAGACGGAGCCCCCAGGGTCCTGGTTCCACAGCCTCCCTGCCATTCAATTTGCCTGCGGGCCCAGGAGCCTGGCAGCCCCAGTTCAGATATTCTAGACTCGCTTCTGTGGAGCCAGGACCCTAGAAGTCCCTGGACAGATTGCCAGGATTGGTAGCCAGGGAAACTGGTTGTCCCAGTAGTCTGAAAGCATAGTGGTCCCCATCATGGGGCAATCCTTATGGCAGAGCTGCCCCAGAACAGCAGACCCTGGAAACTGATATTGAGAAGAATCAGTCACAGTCAGGAGCTGCTGGAGTTCCTGTAAGTATATCTTGTTTTAGAGAGACGTTGTTTCAGTATTTCTGGAACCCATATTGTTGTCTTTTGTTTGTTTTTTTTAATTTACAGTTAAAAAAAAAACAGGTTTCATTCTGAATTCCTACAAAGCCAGACATAGTTTCATAGTAGGTAGGGTCGGAAGGGACATAAGCAGATCATCAAGTCTGACCCCCTGCCATGGGCAGGAAAAAATGCTGGGGTCAAATGACCCCAGCAAGGTGATTATCTAGCCTCCTTTTGAAGACCCCCAGGGTAGGAGTGAGCACCACTTCCCTTGGAAGTTGGTTCCAGATCCTAGCCGCCCTGACTGTGAAGTAGTGCCTCCTGATATCTAGCCTAAACCTACTCTCAATCAATTTATGGCCATTATTCCTAGTTACTCCTGGTGGTGCTTGGGGGAACAGAATCTCTCCCATTCCCCGCAGGGCCCCCCTGGTAAGTTTATAGATGGCCACCAGATCCCCTCTCAGCCTTCTCTTGTGGAGACTGAACAGGTTCAGGTCTCGTAGCCTCTCCTCGTAGGGCCTGCCCTGCTGCCCCATGATCATGTGAGTGGCCCTCCTCTGGACCCTCTCAATGCTGCCCACATCCTTCCTGAAGTTTACATTTTACATAAAAATAAATAAAATCCCTTGCAACCAGAGATCCGGCATGTCATCTAGCTACAGTTCAGTCTTCTACAAATACCAACTATTTAAGCTGCTGAGGGCCCCCTGTGAGGTCAGTGTTCTTCCCCCTCTATAAAATGGGGATAATTTAGATAGAATTTCTGTTATGCAGACTACATGTACAGTAATAGTTACCTAGTTGAAAAAGATCATTGGTAATAATTACCTGGTGGCTCTGTTCCTGTCATTTTATTCTTAATAAAGCAGTCCATGTCTGATTCTACAGTACAGTTTTCCAAGCTAAGCCGAACCTCTTCATACAGCTACAAAACAGAGAACAAGGGTTTTAAGTTCTGGCCTTTAGTGTGACAAACTTCTAAGGTGGAATCTTCTCCTGATCTCTGTTTCTCTTCCTTAAAAGAAGACTGTCCACTTGGAAAGTATTTGCATGTTACACAGCTATTTATTTCTGCTGCAAACAACATCTTGATATAGAAGTCCAGGCAACAGCTTTACAAGCTGACAATTTAATAATAGCTATTTAATTTAGTAGAGCAATGTGTAATGAGAGCCAGTAGCTGGAAGTTAAAGCCAAAGAAATCTGACTTGGAAATAAACACACAGTTTTAATACTGAAAGTGATTCACCCTTGAAACAGACTACCAAGAAAAGTGGTAGTGTTTCTGTCTCTTGATGTCTTCAGACCAAAACTAGTTGCCTTTCTGGAACATGTACTTGAGCCTCAACAGTTGTGTGACTAAATAGAAAGGTAACTTGATTAAATTTTATGTCCAGTGTTAGGAGCTCAAACTACATGATCCCATCTGACTTTAAACTCAATGAATTGATTAAAATCTTTCAGAGGCTGTTGTTTCCAAAGGCATCTGTAAACATTTCCTTGGGTTTTGAGAGATCTTCAGTAGTTTAACTGATCTGAACAGAGAATGCCTGGATGGAATTCCATTGAAAGTAGGGTTTGACAGGTCATGTACCTGCAAAGATTTGTATTATTAAAATAAAATTAGTCATTTTTCTCCCACTATACAGGGGATGACCATACAATTAGTACATTTGTGTTTAAAGTTAACCTGGTGATTGGAGTCATGACCCTGGAGATTAAGGAGAAGGGATGGGAGTTGCTGTCACCGAGCTTGCTTTGGAATCTCTTGAGTCCATGCAGGATCAACTATTCCTTTTAAATTCAGTGGGGAGGTAAAGCTGGCTTGTGGTTTCTTGCCTTGGCTGAGTGTGCTGTGATGGCCAGAATCATAACCAGGCAACAGCAAAGTTGCTGGAGGCATTCAGTGAGCATGAAGAGGGATAAAATGGGATTATGACTTTAAAGGACACATTTTTCTCTTTGGGAAAAACCTGTACCTCATCATCCTTCACACTCTGCATGGAGAATTGGTTACAGTGAACCCATAGGGAGTTCCGGAGGATGGTGATACGGTCGCACTCCTGGAGTTGAAAGGCCTGAAATCCAAAAGCAGAGCTGTCAAATATCATGGTGGTTGTTATTTACATTTTTAGTAGCACCTAGCGGCCCTCACTGTGGAGAAGGCCTTCATTATACCATGCTCATATACCTGCAAACCATTCCTAAACGTGCCACAGTCGACTGTTGGGACAATCTTAAAAAAATAAATCTGCATTATACACAGTAGTTGAGGGAGTTTTTTGTTTCTTTGTTTTTGTTGTTTTTTAAAGTAAACTGAGGTATATTTTCCATGGAAAAGCTGGGAAAGGGGTACATGGAGAAGGGAACAGCATTTTGATCTAATAGATGACTTCTCCGCATACTGTCTATGCTACTGGAATCCTGCTGTAAACAAGTCAGGGGCAACGTTGTTGTAATTGGATGCCTGATGGTGGCTGTATATAGAATATAGGTGATGCCAGAAGTGGCTACTGATGCCTGCAGTTGGTATCTGTTTGGAAGAACTTTCTAGGTAGAAAATCTTTGACTTGTGCTTTTTCTCCAGTTTTTTTTCCCCTTTATTTTTAAGGATGTTCACATAGTAAAATTAGATTTTTGTGTTGCTTCTCAGTTTATCTGTTCCTATGTCTTCAGCTGATTGTTGTTCTGAGGTGAGATGGGGAGTTGGAATGTGAATTCAGGTGGGAAAACATATAGGTGAACTCTTTTTTTTTCTATAATTGTTTTTACAACAAAGCCAAAAATAAATGTTATCTCCAAGCTGAGCTGTTCTTCCCAACAGAATGTTTTTTTTTTGTTTTCCACAAGGTGCAAAAGGCTCAGATGCTTCTTGCCATCTGGTTGCTTCTTCATTTGTTAGTACTTATGTTAACAGCACCAAAAAATTACTCAGCTTTTGAAAAAGCATTGAGTAAATACAATCCCTGTCTTTTAAGAGACACAAGGCATGGGGCAGTTGACATGAGAGTATGAAGAAATCAACTGGTCAGAGAAACAGGAGGGGAATCATTATAGGGACAGTGGATAATGAGAGTGAAGGAGGGAGAGTGAGGCTAGTTTGGGTCTGCAAGTCAGGGGAATTGGCTTCATTTAACATATGAAAAATGTAACCACAACCATTTAATATAGGGGAGGTTCCCTCCAATGGAAAAACTTTGTCAACTTCCCTACTGACAGAAATGTCAAAATATCTGAATAGGTTTTTTCAATATATATATACAAAAAATGAAACGGAAACAAAACTTTTCTTTCCCAAACAGTGGAATGGACATTCTGGGTTATGACCAACTCTAGTCAGGTCCTCGGGTCCTGTTAAGAGCCAGCCAGAGGAAGCCATTCGTAGCATGTAATAGCAACAACCTTAATGGATCTGCAGATAATGAACCATAAAATAGACACTATAGAGTTTTACATGTCAATGGATGGTAAATTGCATAAACTAACAACATATGCACACCACCAGACACTGCCTTAGAGACACACTTTGCATACATTTTTATTTTGCAACCTCCTCAGAAATCTACCAATAGTTCATTTACTGAAAAGCATGTTTAGGAGGAGGAATTCAACAAAGTAATTCCTTTGCAAAAGATAAGTTTGTGCTAACGGATTTGGGAAGGTTATGGGTTCTGTAGTCTGGCATGTATACATTGGTGATAGGAGAGTAAGAAGGGAAAAGGAAATAAAGGAAAATCTTTTAGAATTCCTTTAAATGAAATAAAGGAAAATCTGTCTTGGAGGAGATTTTAGACTTGATTCCATTTCTATGGAACATTTGCTGTTTTAGCTGTGGGACTTTCCAGTGATTCCCAACAGGGAAAGTTTAGGAGAAGGCAGGGAACTGGAAGGTCCCGCTCCTGGCATTTGCATTTATGTGGAAATAAAAACTTGAAACAAGCAAACATAGCAAAAGTGAACTTTAACAGATGGACACATATACAAGACAGAGAAATGTAAAGGGACAAAATGAAATTCAGGTGAGCTAATATGTTCCTAATAGGGATGTTAACCAGTTCCTGAAGACTGTCATAGAAAATGTACAAAATAGATATAAAACCTAGTTACTCTTCCTGATGATGGAAGTGTAACTATATTTTCTTGCCCTTGAATCAAAGCAAAAATTACTCCATACTAGTAAGTGAATAGCATTTTACAAGGATGATGTAAAAATATTCAGTGATATTAAACTAGATCGCAAATTGTCTTGCTATAGACTGGTGTCCTCTTCACTTAGAGAGGTGTAACAGACACGCTTACTAAATGTGCTACTCACTAAGGCTGGGGGGGAAGTTCTTTATGTCCTTTCAGTTTCTGCAATGTAATTTTTTTTCTATCCTGATTTGGGGCAAGAGGTCAAGCTCAAAACATTCTCATAAGCCAGTAATGGGCGGGGGAATAAGCAGGTAAACTCAATTGTTTTGTTTTGGTTTTTTGACTGTTTAAACTTTTTAAAATAGTAAATTAGCTAAAACTTTTAAAAATTAAAAATAATTTCTATCTTGAAATATATTTTTCAATTGTTTCAAATTGGATTTGTTAAAACCAATCCTTTCCTGTGACATTTTGCTTATGATTTAGTGATATTTTGTCAGAAAATGATCAGTTAAGAAATATGTTTATCTTGGCTCTGATTAAATAGAACAGCCATTAAGCAAGCATAATCTCATTTTATACCCAGGGACAGGTCATCAACTGGTGGAAATTTAAAACCATACCTTTGTAATCACACCAGTTCAGAATTTGTCTCCTGCATTCAATGTGCGAGAGTAAAGAGTGAGCAAGTCAGCTAACAATCTCATTTTCAATCTAGGGTAGTCTTTAGAGGATTCTTGAAGCAGTCACATATTCACAGACCATCCAAAGCATGTAAGGAATCCCTCCCTCTTGAAACTGGATGCTGGGCTAAGATACACTTTTTATTTCACTCCACTTGTGCGCATACAAAGGGTTATGAAGGTCAATATTTACCTTGCAGGTTTTGATATGTTCCTGCTCCCATTCAGTCCTGGCCTTGTCCAGCTGCTCTATGTTCTGCTTGTACACCCTCTCTGTCAACAGAGACATGTGAAATAGAAACTTACCCAGTTAGATAAGATAATGTAGCCTCCTCATATCTCTTCCTCTTACGTATTACTATGGTTTTATTATGGAAATACATAGCTCTAACCCAGGGGTGTCAAACTCGCTCTGTGCCCTGGATACCTGCCTGGATCTGGACTGTAGGGCTTTCTGCAGGTCAGATCAGTGAGACAAGTGGGGAAAGCAGCAGGGTCAGCAGCTGTGGCAGTAGTGGGGCCAGTGGCAGCAGCGGAGGTGATGAGCCAAGTGGCAGTGATGTGTTGCCAGAGCCTTTCTTTTACCCCTCCCCTGCCAATGGCCATGTCCACGGGCACCCCGGGGCCCAGATTATGTGGAAGGTTTTGCCCCTGCTAGCTCAGTCCCCAAATTCCATGTCCCCCCTACTGCCTCACCAGGAGCACTGTGGACTTAATAGATCAGCTCCATATGCCATACGTTTGCTACCCCTGCCCTAAACTGTACCCTACAAAATACAGTACACTAGAATCTGGTTCACCAAGAAGGTGGCTGCTTACCTCATGGTAGCTTCATGAAGCAACACTGACCTCTCTGACCTACTGATACATCACACACACCTTAGCCAGGCTGAAGTAACATGGAATTGCATTTTCCTGACAAACAAGATACCTTGGGAGAACCCAGGAGAACTGGTCCCAGTGGCACAGGAGTAATGTGTTTCATTTCAGTCATGAAACAGAGCCGAGCTCCTGGTGTTTCTGATACTGTATTTGGGCTCACAGCTGGGTCATCTACCATAGTTGTTCATGGCCAGGGATCCTGGTTTTCTTTGATTTAAAAAAAAATCCCCAATTTTCAGATAAAAAAGTAACCCCAAATCCACATTTTTTCCATAATTAAAATGAAATACCACTAATACTACTCTTTTTTTATTGTGAAAATTGGGGTGGGAGTTTATCGGAGAAAACCAGGATCCCTGTTCGTGACTGAATACAGATATATATGGTCCTTGATCTGAGTTGGAGTAGTTGAAGACTTTTCTGTGCCTTAACATAGCATACATAAGGGGCATACCAGAAAAAAGAAAGACAGAAAAAAGACGTATGCTGCTTTTAGAGGATTACCTCTTCTAGAAGGCAGTGGGTAGGTTTATACGGCTTTCCCAGTGCTGCTGGTATAAGCCAGTCCCAAGCAGGCTCTGCCCGTTTGCTCCTGCTCCTATTCATCAAACCTGGAAACGAGGCAGTGAAACTGCACTGAGAGCAACCCCCATAGCAAGCAGTTTCCAGATCTTTCAGTGCTTAAGTGTGGCAGAAGGGGAGATGCTTCCAGAGTGGCTTCACCCCTTCATTTCCAGGATAGACATGGGGAAGAGGGAGTGGGCAGGCAGGCTGTGTTCAAAGGACAGCCCTCCCCTTGAGCACTGGGGAAGGGGTGTAGACATACCCCAGCATCCTGGAACAGTAGCCTCACTAGCCTGTGGGGGTGAGTTTTTAGGAAGTTGCATTTCAAATGGGTGGGTTTACTTTTAATAGCACACCGTTGGATTCAGCTTCATGTGGGACCCTCTAAAAAGCAAACTCTACATTTAATTGCAAATAGAATAGCACCTGCTTCATTCGCCGAATCTCTGTATTGCTTAGCTTTGTTTTGACTCTGAAATAAAAAAGACAAAACTGAAATTAAGACTTTTCCATATTCTTTTTTTTTCTTTTTAACCAGTCAACAAACCAGAGGGTATAAAATTAATTGCCCAACCTTGCCAACAATTACTATCTGGCTAAGAGCCAAGCATTATTGTATTGACTTTATATTAAAAACTAGAGATCTCATCCTCAGCTGGTGTAAATAGTTATAGGTGTGTTGACTTAAGTGAACTCTGACAATTTACATAATGTGAGAGTCTGGCCTTATGTACTGCCTTTGTACACTTTCCTGGCAGTTGCTCTTTTTGGCTAGGGACAGACATTACACATAAACCAGTTTAAGTGATCCAAAACTGGTTTAAACCTGTAACAGAACAAAAGTTCAGTGCTCATAAATCACTTTCAAAATGGCTGAAACTGATCTGGGATAAACTTGGATGGATGTAGTATCAGACTTAACTGATTTAGGTCAAACCAGTTTATGGACATTCGGTCCCAGACCCCTTCCTGGTTCAAGTTAACTTACAGCCCCTCAGAATGCTTTGTGGCCCTGGGCTGTGCTGTCTGGTCCAGCACAGCGGGGCTGGCCCCTCCTCCAGCCATCTCACAGCTAAAGCACTAAAGTCTTTGCTTCCCACCAGCACCTGTCAGCCTGGCAGGGGGCAAGGGAATGGACCCCCAGAACCTTCTAGTCTCCCCTCTGTACAAGACAAGGGGAAGGAAAGCCCCAGCAGTGGAGAGGTCGGGGGGGCGGGGAACATGCCCATGCTGGCTTGGCATCAGACCCTCCCAGGCAGGTCTTCCCAGTGTGGTGGGGGGGTAGCCCCCACTGGGGGCTCTTCAGTCCCCCACAGGCCAACTTGCTGGGCTGGGATCTGCTCAGCCTTATCCCTTCCACAGCCCCCATCTGAGAGGCAGGGACCAGGGGGTCAAGTGTACCAGGCCAGGTGGGCACTAGCTTCCCCAGCCAGGGTCTGTCCAGTGTGGAGGGAGGGGAAGTCCCCGCTAGGATCTTTTCACTCCCCCACAACCTAGCTTACCAGGCTGGCATGCGCTCAGCCCCACCCCACCTGAGAGAAGCAGGGGGCGGGGAGGGGAATGCACTGGGCAGGCGGCTCGCCAGGCTGCAGGGTTACAAAAAGCCCCCAGTGGGGGCTTTCACTGGGAGGACTGGGGGGCCAGTGTCAGGTCGGGCTGGTGCATTTCCCTTCCCGCCCCCTGCCTCTCACAGGCAGGGGGTGCTGGGGAGGGGGCAGGGCTGAACTCGTGCCCACCTGGTGAGCCAGGCTTTTTGGGAGTGAAAAGCCCCAGTGGGGACTTTAACCGCCTCTTCCACCTCCCCCCACCCCGAACCGGCAGACCCTGGTTGGTGGTCCAGTCCCAGGCCAGGCTAATGTCTTCTCCCCTTCCCTGCCTCCATTTTCAGAGGTGGGGGCCTGGGGAGAAGGTGGGGGTGAGCTGATCCCAGCCCGAGGAGCCAGACTGTAGGGGAGCAAGAAGTCCCCCTACAGAGGGGGAAGCCCAAGAGGACTTCCCCCTCTGTGCTGGGCAGACCTCAGCTGGGGGAGCCAGTGCCTGGCTGGCCTGGTGCATTTGCCCCCTCCCCCAAGCCCCCACCTCTCACAGGCAGGGGTTGGGGAGGAGGCAGGGATCAGCTGATTCTAGCCCTGTGAACTGGGCTGCTGGGGAGCAAAAAACCCCTGGTGGTGTCTTTCCCCCACACTGGGCAGACCCCAGCTGGGGGGCCAGGGCCAGGTGGTGCATTCCCCATCCCCATGCTCCTCTGAGGCAGGGACTGGGGAAAGATTTTCCTCTGGCTCTCCCTTCCCAGCGGATGATTGTGGGGGGGGAAGTGTCTAGCAGCCAATCAAGCCTGGGTTGCTACTGGGCTGGGTTTAGCAGCCTCAGGCATGAGTAGTGGTGTACATGAGCGCCCCAGACTCCTGGCCTGGGCCAGTGTAGGCTTCTGCCTGTCTTGGCCACCCAAACATTGAACGTCTGTTAAGTTTGTTATCGGATCAAGCTATGCAGCTTAGAAAAACCTGCAAAGATTGAACTCATTCCATCTTAGGCTTTTTTAACCTCTCCATAAGTGTTTGCAGAATCTGACCCCCCTTTCTCCTCCTGCTGATAGAATATATTTATACTGGGGACAATATGTGACTGCTGAACAGGACCTTAAAAAGAATGAAATGGCAGTTGAAATTCCTCCTCTCCTCCCAGTTCCTCAGGTAACATCCCCAGATAAGCAGCCAGATTTGAAGGAACAGGATGAACCTTCTAAAATATTTTTGCAACTGTTACATTTCTTGGCTGTTTCCAATAGCAACTTAAAAACCCTGAAAGCAAAATTCCCTTCTCAGTAGAATGTCTTTGTATTTTACAGCTCTTTAAAATGGAAAATCTGGGCAGACTATTGACAACCCAGTACTTCCTGGTTTTACTGCACCAGATGGTGATGACAACATGTTAATGCAGTGTTCTTGAAGCCTGTATTCTGTCCTTCCAGGCAATGTTCAAACTAAGATTCCCATAATTATGCTCCTTTACTGCAGCTGGCTGGAAAATATGTGATAAGTCAGAACCCAGCATCGTCTTTATTAATTTCCTGTCCTAAACTGTTTGCTGTTGCTGTTGCTCTGCAAAGTGAAACAGCTAACAATTTCCATGCGAGCTGCCACTCTGTATTTCAGTGGGGGGAGAAACGATCGTGTTCATGTCAACGTGTGTAAAGTTAATGGCACTGAAACACCCTGGTACCTTTTGGGGGAAAGGCACTAGGCGAGATTCTGATCCCTGACAAATAAATAGGGATTTTCCTCTTTACTTAGGACCAGGTTTTCATTCAGTATTTATAACAAAGATCTAATTTGTTATTCATCAAAGGTTTTGGGATACTAGATACCAAATGCTTATTTCCAGTGCCATTTTTAGATATTTTTTTTCCCACAAGAGATGAGGTTTGATCTTCTCTGCTTACACTGCACTGATTTTTATGGAGCAAAAGGGAGTTAATTTATTTTGTTTTCCCCATCTGTTCCATTGTAAAATGTTCCCATTAAAAGTTACTGAATCGTCAGCTAAAAACATAAGATGAAGGCAATGAAGGACTGAATTGCCTGCCTTTTCAATAATTTATTTTTAAGTTTGTAAATTCACGTGAAATTGAACTAGCTACCGAGAGAAAAATATTGATTTAAAGATGAGATTATTATATCTACATTGGTTAACACACGTTAACAAAAGGCAGAAACACTTGATTAACATGTTTCTTTCCACCTTGCACTTCTATGAATCATTTGACATTTAAAACAAAAACATTAAGCTTCTCCGTAGAATTCTAAGAGCATCTGAACGTTTTCTAATGAAGGGCTGTACCAGTCACATTACTCAATCCCAGTAGCCCCCATTTTGCTTTTTAAAAACACTCACAGCTCTGATCTTGTCTCACTCAGTTCTACTAATTGTTCAAAGGGCTCTGTCTGTCTGTGAAAGCCTTCTTCTCCAGGTATTGTTACACATCTTGAATGTTCCAGGTTAATTTGAATAGAAAGCAGCTTCTGAAATGTATGCACCTTCCCACAGAGTGGATGGTTCTAACCTTTGTTTCCATCATACTCTGCTGAACCTTGACTATGAAAACTGAATCGTCTACTAGCCTTTCTCTCTTAGCATTGCTTAAATAAAACTAAAGTCTCCAATACCTTTTCTGTTTGCTTTTGGTTGCCCGAAGCACTTATCCGCTCAGAGGTTTGCTCAGCCTCATCCGCGTCCTTGCACTTCTGCTCGTAGGTCTTTTTTGACTGCATTAAAATAAATTGAATAGAAGGTTTGTTTGTAGGTCAGATAATAGGACTGTATTCTTTCCAGCATGACAATATCTCTTCTGCAGGCAAAAGAAACAAAACTACATACAGGTCTTTGGACAGTTTAAATTGACAGTGCTGAGAGACAGATATAAAAATAGAGCTGGAGAGACACTCTGGATGCTGACTAGTCAAATGAGCAGCGCACCAACTAGCCTGCTTCAGCATCCTGTAGATAGTACTGCCATGGATCACAATGATTCAAAGACCCCATTCAGAATCAGTGCCCCATTGAAGTGGGGACCGCACAGACCCACACAGTGAAAAACATTCCCTGATCTGAAGACTTAACAATCAAAATAGCAGAGCTGGAGGAGAGGAGGGGTGGATTTTTCATTTCATGGAAAATCCCATAATGTTTTTAGAAGAGCAACTCCCATGCTGAAAGAGAATGAAAACAAAAATCTCAGTTTCCCATTAAATTAAATTCTTGAGCAAATGTTTCAGGTTGATCAGAGCATCTAATTTCAGTACAATCAACACGTCATTCCAATTTTGATGTTTTTAAAAATATTCTATGATAAGACGATTTAAATTTAAAAAATCAAATAAATATGACAATATAAAAATAAAACATTTCTGACATCAAAATAATTTTTCTCTGTAAATGAAATGTTATTGCTATCTACTCAGTGTTTTGCTTTTGACAAGTCAGCCTCTGACAGAAAAGAGTTATGTAATAGCTCTACTACATAAGCAAGACTGACAAATAGTGGAAGAGGAAATGATTTGCCACAACCACATCGCAGGCCAGTGGCAGGACCAGGAGTAGAATCCTGGCCTCCTGAATTCATGTCCAGTGCCTGTTCATTGGCTCACATTGCTTCCAAAAATACTGCCTTGGTCAGTAGAAGTGAAGTCCTGTCGGAAATGTTGTTTGTTTGCACCTCTCTAGTACCCAAGTCCCCAGTCCTATACCAGTAGCCCGCTGTGCTAAGTTTGTACAGAACAAAAGCACTGTCCCTCTCACGAGAAGTTTATACTAACAAGAGACAAGAGGTGGAAGCAACAAACTTGAAGAGCATAAAGAAACAGAAAGACAGTACAGGTCAGCATGATAGATGGTACCCACTAGCCACCTCTGTCATCACGCTGTTTTATAGACATCGTGTCAAAGGAAAGTTTTACTGAGAAAAAGGGAGGGCAATAAAATGGCTTTGCCAATGTTTACAAGGCACTCCAGCATGGTAAAAAGCACAGAGCTTCTTGTTTGAAAACTAGATCCATGAGCAATGAAGGCTGGCACCAGGGTTGTCCTTGGGGGGGTGCGAATCAGGGCGACCGCCTTGGGCCCTGCACTTTGAGGGGGGCCTGCGGAGCTGGGCGGAGCAGCAGCGGCATGGAGCTGGGCAGCGCGGTGGCTCCTCATTTAGCCGCTTGCTACTCCCTACCCCCACTTTCCCCCTCCGCCGCTGCTTCTTCAGGTCCAGGATTGGAGCAGGGATGGGGCCCCGCATGGGCTGATTTACCCCGGGCCCCACACCCTGCTTGGGTCGCCTCTGGCTGGCACCATGAGAGGCTAAAATCTACTTTAGACGTGGTATTATGTAAACAACAGCATATATCCAATCTTAATGTCTACCTCAACAACTATGGCTTTTACTCTTCTTATCTCTTTTAAACCAAAATTAACATCATTAGCAAAAGGAGCTGAATGTTATTACTGCTTATGCATCATCAACAGACTTGCCAGCTACATCCCATGGCTAAATCAGGTTTATCATCCAGTTGTCTTAGACAATTAGAATGACACCCATGATTCTGGCGGCCAAATTTAAGCTGTGGAATCTATATGAATGGTATCAGTATATGAGTCAGTAAGGACTTGTCTCAACTTTGAAATCCCTAGCTTGAATATTGCAGGCTGACTAGTAGGAAAAAATAAACATTTTAGCTTATAAACCAAGTGAGTTCAAGACAAGAGTCACTAAGGTTAATAAATAATAAACAATAATCCAAAATTTGTTCTTATTGTGATCCTGCACTGAAAAGTGACACTTGAAATCAGAGCAAAGTTTATTTGTTTGCCCTGCAATTGAGATTTGTGGAAAATCACTCCATTTTCTAGGTCTGTTGAAATCATGCTAGCCGGCCATGGGTGAAAGGGAGGAGGGGAA